AAACAAAGATTAGTCATAAAATAAGTCCTACTTAATTTTGTTTCGTAGATTGCTGGACAGACAGAAACGATCGTTGCAGTTTTTTGATTTTTAATCATACGCAGTGTATAGCAGGAGGTTCGGCTACGAGAAAAATTGTAATAATTAGTTTCATGGACATTTTTCCGTAATGTTCATTTTTTTTTTGTTTCGCTACAACAGGGTTCAGAGCTACATTTAGCGCTTACTGATCATGTATACAAATCTTTCTGTTTTGCGTGCCTGCAACAAAAATTCGCTACATTGGCACAAGATGACGAGATATACGCGCGACAACGTGGGCAGCTTTCCTGTGTGGACATTAAACTACAATATCAGCAACATTGACGTGATAAACTAGTATTATTATTATATATTTTTTTGGAAGCACTACACGGTATCTGCTATTTCGAAAAAAGTCACGGTAGTTTTGTCTCATTTACGACGCATATATAGTAAGTACGTATTCTAGCTTATATTATAGCATGCATTGAAACTGCATGTCCGTACGCACATGCATGCATGTACGTACGCAATATTGCAGCCACGCGCACGCACACGCGCACGCGCACGCGCAACGTACGCACGCACACGACGCACACGAACCAGCGCCCGCTTACACACATGCACAGCGCCACGCGCGCGGCACCACGCGACGCGCGACGCTACGCACGCACGCACGCACCACACACGCCGCACACGAGCCAGCACCCCAGTTACGCAATGCACCGCCACCACGCGCGCACGCACGCACAAGCAGCGCACACGAGCCAAGACCCAGTTACACACATGCACGCGCACGTACGACACGCACGCACACACGCACACGAGCCAGCACCCGTTACACACATGCACGCGCACGTGACGCACGCACACACACACGCACACACGCACACGAGCCAGGCACCATGTTATCACACATGCACTTGCGTAGCACGACTATACACACATTATTCAAATTTTTCGTCAGTGGCAACATTGTGTCTATTGGTTTTTTACTGGGTAGGTATTACTCGCTAACTTCCTACTCATTTGCCGAAATTCACTTGCGTGCATGTAATATTGTTGATTGAGTGAGGTACAGGCGGGACATTACTTGGCTTGCTAGGAATGCTCATTTCGAAGCCCGGGCAGGCTCGCAGGTATTTTGGTGGAATGTGTGACACATCGGACGATGCGACTAAGGTAGAATTCGAGCCAGGATCTGTCATATACTTCATCAGGAGTCTCCTTTCGCTGCGTCTGGCTTTCTGAAGATCAGAAAATTTTGCCAACGAATTATAGTTTAAGTGCATGAATCCTCGTTTTTAGTTCACTTTCAACACGAAACGTTGACGATGAAAATAATCATAAGCGAGTACGGAAACAACAACATTCAAATTCGCATTAGATGTGCGCAGGGCCAACAAACGAGAAATGCTAAATAGTAACACTGCTAATGAATGAAATCACGAATGACCTGAGTTCGCCTTGAAGGTCATGAGGTTGAAGTCGAAATTGTAGGTACAAAACGGGCGGGGGGGGGTAATGATAAAAATCGCATTAGAGGTCAGGGATACCTTCACGGTACTGTCTACTATTCCCAAGCGCGTTATTGCATGTACCCATTGCGACATCATGGCAAGACTGACCCGCTGCCGCCCTGGTCCACGATCCAGTTGCCGATGATCTTGAACGGGACCGGGAAAAGATCAAGGTAGCGCTCCATTTCTCGCATGTAGTCGTGAATGTGTTCGGCCTTGACGTGCATAGTCTGGTGTTCGTAGATCTTCGTGTCTATGTTTAAGGCGCTCGCCGAGCGCACCGCCGTCCGCAGCAGCGTCGGCGCCGCGGCCTGAAAGTATGACGTCACGTCCACCGACCTGTCAATCATAACCGGGGAGGGGGGCTACGAAATTTGCACAAGCAAGCCAAAAATCTGGTTAGAGCGAAATACCTATTTCCAGAGTATGGTTTTGTACATGCCTTTACATACCTTGAAAGATTATAAATCAATAATTATTTAATATATATTGTCTGGTCAATTCGAATTCACCGCAAAATGATACTAGCGGGACGAATGATTTGAAAACGGTTTGCTTTTTGCCAATCTGCGGATATGCTCTCTCTTTACTGCGCACGCTGTTGCCGAACGCCGTTTCAGACTATATATAACTGAAGTTTACCTATAGAACACAGTGGATCCGCATATCGAATCTTCGAACACCATTATGCAAAACAGCGGTGACAAGCGTATAACTCCTAGGGACATTAAGGGGTTAGCGTTGCTATCCTACACAACCGTAGAATGTGGGTTTATCCTTGTTTATGATATATAATTATCTTCATCATGCAAGGACAGTGCATACATACACACACGTGAACGTACGGACGCACACACGGACGCGAACACGAACCTCCCCGCACACACACACGCACGCACGCACGCACGCACGCGCGCGCGCGTACGCGCACAGACGGACGCACACTCGCACACGAACACACTTTTGAGAACACAGTTCTTCATCAGGCTCCAGTGCCAGCTGATGACGAACCGTGCTTGAGTCTCAAACTCTGTTTCAAACTTTTAATATACGCACGAATCAGTTGGTTCTGAGTCATATCAACAAGACACGTGAAAGGGGAAGTTAATTAGTAGCTACGAAGCTCACACTATATATATAGCCGTTGCGTAACACACCGATATGATAGAGCTATAGAACCACGATCGATGTGGTTCCCAAGCTACTGCTTAACTCTACTTAACTACCCTACTTAACTCTGCTTAACATACACATAAGCGCGTGCATCATACCTTTATCGCCGAAGTCTTTGCCACAATTCGAGACAGCATATTGTACGCGGTGTAAGCGTGTGTGTTACCGGATCAAGATCAGCGCAGGACTACGGGCGATCCACACCACGGGCGTGATGTATACACGTAAGTGCGTACGTGCACCGGCCCGCTACCCTGGGAACCGATGCAGTTCAAAGTCGAAGGCCTGGGACGGTATAAAAGGGTGCAGGCCGTGGGGATGTCAATCGCCGCAGACTGCCAACGTCGTGTTGCTCTCGGTTTCACTCCGCTGAGAAGCAACGCACGGGGATTCTATCACGCAAGAAGACACGGTCGAACTTGAATTTAGCGATCGTCTGTTTGGGCGCGCTCGCGCGTGTATTTTGTCCTTGAATGGGAAGAGAAACGAGGTCAAATTTGGTCTCCATATTAGTGAGTCACTCAGCTCCTAACAAACAGCCCATGCAGACTTACTTGCTAGTGTAACGATTTTGGCTTCTTGATATATTTTGGGGGATGTAATTATACATATACGATATACTACTGTGNTTGCAAAATTCACTACAGACGCCCAGTGGTAACGAAACGATTACAATGAGTTCCAAGGCATGCATGTTTGTTTGATTGATTTCTTTGGAAACCAATGCACGCAGTAAGCATATCATCGCGCTTGTTTTGATTTAATAATAATTGTATCTAGCGTAATATTACATTAGCTCTAAAAGTGCATTTTCTGTACGCACGGGGGCACACGCTCACACTCATCCCCCCTCCCACACACACACGCAAACGCACACGCACACGCACACGCACACGCAAACGCACACGCACACGCACACGCATGCACTCGTTATCCTACTGCGCCGAAACTGAGCTGTTATTATCATGACGTTAGGCATGATGTATATATATGAAGAGTATATAATAGAGACATTTATGGCTATTAAATACAGTTCCGAGTACTGAGCTTACTGTGTATCATAGAAATAATATACTAGGTAGACTCTACTATGTGTCTCTCTATATAATTATTTCTAGTGCGTATATATAACTAGCGGGATACCCAGCGTTGCCCGGGGAAATCAGTGGCGTTACTCAATTGGTGACCGCTTGGTTAAAAGGAAAATACCCCAAAAATAGAACTATCTATCCATGCATCCATCCATGCATCCATCCATCCATCCCATTCCATGCCATCCCATCCCATCGCACCGCATCCCATCCCATCCCATCCCATTCCATATCCCATCCCATCCCATACCATCCCATCCCATGCCATCCCATCCCATCCTATCCCATGCCATACCATGCCATCTCATTCCATCCCATCCCATACCATCCCATCCCATGCCATCCCATCCCATCCTATCCCATGCCATGCCATGCCATGCCATGCCATCCCATCCCATGCCATCCCATCCCAAACAGTAAAAAACAATAAGAAATCAAAAGATATGACATTTAAAAAAAAAATTAAAAAAAAAGTAAGAAATTAAAAATAATACTAAAGGGAAAAAATGAAAAAGGTGAAAATATGTTCCCCAGCTGGGACTCGAACCTGGATTCCCACTGTAGGAGACGGATGTTCTAGCGATTATGCCACTGCGCCGTTAAAGGTATACACCATGGATTCACACGTATGTGATGTTTTAATCTTTACGCACCGCCATCTATTGATGAATATAATTTTTATCAATTTTTAACTTTTTAACTTTTTTACATTTTTGTTTCAGCCCGAACCACCTCCCAGACGTGCTGATTCTGAAAATATCTTTAGTTTTTCTCTAGGCTGCGAAGTTCTCTAGTTATGCGATCACGGACTAATTCGGCTGAACAACTTCATATATATTAGTATATAGTATTAGCATATTATATATAGATATAGATTATTGGCGTCGTCGGTATTATATTCATATGCTTTCATGGGTGACGTCACAAAAAGTCGATCTGTGATTGGTTGATCTATATGCATGCCCCCCCCGTTCACCTGTAAAAAATTCTCGCCCCTGGGGCCTGAACCTGTCAGGGGCGTGTACAGGATTTGTAGCAGGGGGGAGGGGGTCTAACCGTAACCCAAACTTTCGAGCATGCGAAGGGGGGGTCTGGGGAAAAGATTTGTAATCAGACCCTTTCAGATGTGTTTTCTGCGCGAGAAGGGGGGGGGTCCGGACTCCTGGACCCCCCCCCTCCCTGTACACGCCCCTGTCTGTACCACCAACCCTGTAAAGTGTAATCAATGCTATGTACTGCAAATTTACAATTATTAATTATAACATTATGACCATGTTTGCGCTTGGATCAACTGAGCATATAAAAAAGAATAACAAGGAAAAGTAATTTATCTATTAAATGTTCCTGGAGAAAAGAAGAGAAATGGCGGAGGAGTCTGTATTTTACGGGACTTGGAGGGTAATATATAGCTATTTCTATTCGTTAGAATCTTTAGTGGAAATATTATATCGTTTTTACGTTGAAACTGACTCTGAAGTTTATTGTTTTAGATTGTCGAGTGTGTTTCTCTTTCCGGAACCGTGGAGACAACGGGGTTTGAAGGGTACGTTGAATGGATTAGTTAGTTAGTTAAGGTTAGATGGGTTGAGTTTAGGCCTGGCCTATTATTATACCCATATCTGTCCAATGTAAGTCTAGTTTGTTTTTAAAGCAGTTGACCGTCTTGGCCTCGACTACAAATGTTGGCAGTGCGTTCCACGCATTCACCACTCTTTTAGTATTTTCGATGGATGGATGGATACTTCGATCAGATTATCTTGTACTTGAAGTAGCACTTGTAAATATTTGACTGTCATTTCGTTGGAATGTTCATATTGAATGCATTTAAGGAAATCTTCTAGTTCTTTTGTTTCTTTGGGGTTTTGTGGTTTTCTACCTATGGAGCCCTCCGCGCTGTAACAACTATATTGAAAAGTATTTAACAGGTGTAAACAGTAAATTGTAATCGTGTTCATGTGTTCTAAACTGAGTATCTAAGCTAGCGCCGCATGACTGGTATACCTTAAGTTAGCTGGGTCTACTTAAATTACACAAGTGTTTATCCACTTGTTCCAATTGATCATTATCTCAGCAAATTATAGTAAAGTTGTAGCACTGTACCTACGCTCTTTGATTCGGTAAACGTAGTCTCAGTGACAGTGACAATCCGTTCTCAACTTGCAAACTGTAGATTGACAACCCTATGGAATTGTCTGTGAAATGTATGTTCCGCACGTGTTTTCGTCGTTAGCACCGACTTTCGGCTGGACGAGACAGGAGACGTGACATGGACGGTCGCGGATGGCGTTGAATCGCTGCCCTTCTTCGGCTGTGAGACTTATGAAGTCTGTGCAGCGAGAAAGTCGAGCCCTGTACGTACCCACGCGTGCGTCTGCTACTGCCGATCGCACACTTTACCCGAACCAACTATGTATATATACATGAAACAGCTATGCTTACCTGATCTAACTGTGTGTGTGTGTGTGTGTGTGTGCGTGCGTGCGTGCGTGCGTGCGTGCGTGTTTGTTTGTGTGTGTGTGTGTCTGTGTGTGTGGGGCCGGTGTTTGTGTGTGAGCATGTGCATGCGTGGATGCGTGTGCGTGCGCGTGCGTGCATGCGTTTTCACGCGCGTGTGTTTATAAAGATAGCTTAGGTTGTACACGTATGTACAGGTATGAGTTAAGGGATGGTAATCAGTTAAGTGGTGATTGAGACTTGAGATTGGTCACAGGAGGTAAGGTTGTGGAGTTGGGTTTCATAATGGATGGGTTGTTGCAGTGTATGGGGGTGTTGATATTAAGTCGTAGTGCTTCAGCTTGGTGTGTGGTGGTAATGCATAAGATATGATAGTGTTTCAGTTATGGTATAGTAGGTGGTATGTCGCAATGGCCTCTAACTTTAGATCGCAATGTTATTTATAGTGTAGTGAGGTGAGGAGAAAGATTCACGTGTTGTGATTGGTCTATTTTCTTTGATCTCTCAGCTTGACCTTGGGCATCCAACTGTGCTGAAGTTTCGGACGTTTTCTGGTCACAACATCGAATTCAGAGTAAGTTAGCACGTTGCCACATACAATAATGCCAATCGTATCGGCACACTGCGCGAGATTGTTTTTAATATAAAATCTAAAGGCGGTGCGTATCTTTGTTTCTCCATCCAATTCATTTGTTTCTTGCCGAAAATCACCGAGCTAATGCTTTGCTGGCAGGTGGAGATATCTGATCATGATGACCTCATGCTGCTCACGTATGACAGATGTTGCATGCTACAGTGCCAAAAGGTACGTATAACACATATAAATTGGTATGCTTGGCCAGCATATGCACAAGACTGTGTGGTATAGGGACCGAAATAGAATGTGATACGCAGATATTTTGTCATGGATGCGCTCGTTAACATAAATTTCTACTGTCATATTCATCTTAAATTGGATATGTTCTTGTTACGCGGTTGCACCTATTACTTGCTATTATAATGCTGCAAAGTACACGCCTTTTGATTTATATTAAACTTGAATTATATCTATTGAGGTTTGTAATTGCCTTTTCAGGTTGCGAGTAACGACACCAAAAATGAATTCACATTCTCATTTCTAAGCGCGCTAGATGAAGGATACTTCTCTGATCTAGTCATTAGAGCAGACTCTGGGAAGGAGGTACGTCCAACGTTTATTTCAAACACTGAACGCGGAATTGTTTTCACCCATCGTATGCGAGGCATGCAGTAAATGCAAGGCGATAATGAACGTTTATGGGCAGCAGACTTGCTTTTTACTTCAACAATATCTACCATTTATCTGGAACAAATCATCTTCTGGTGATCGTACGATGTCTGTATTTCCGCTCAGTCCTACCATCCCCTGGTGGTGCCGGGAAGCATTTTAAGTTGTCCTGTCATGGTAAGCTTGCCATGCAGGTGTGTCAAGCCCTGATACCCGTGGGAACATCACTGGTGGTCCTGTTATCCCTGTGTGATAGTGAAGTTAAACTTGTAGTCTGTATGAGATATATAATGAAGCGTGTTGGTCCACAGTATCGTGTTCATCGGACTATTCTGAGATTGGCCAATTCTCAGCTGGACTGGAATCGGTTTCCGTCTCCACTGACAGGTTTGCCCGAGGACGTACTACAACTAGTGCTGCACTACCTCTATGCAGGTCAGTATCACGGGCTGAAAATACACCAAAAATGATGGCACAGCATTTAAACTTGTGGGGAGAGCGCTTTAGTAGTTTTACACGTTTTCTATATGTTATTGGGGTTCATGGTTGGGTTAAGTAGGTTGAAAAGCATTTCGATCAGATCGCTCATAGAATATACCACGTACAGGAAATTGCAGTACAGAGGCATGGCTTGCATGCAAGCCTGCAAATTTTGCACTGACACGACTTAAAACCAGTTAGGTGAAGGTGCCCTTTTCGATTAATTGTCGTCTTTGAAATGCTTTCTGTTTCTCTTACCCTTGTCTTGTGCATTGTCTCTGTTGCAGAATGCCTCCCCAACGGGCTCACCGAGGGCGTGGCCAAATCCTGTGTGATGCATGTTGGCAAGATGCCAGGATTCGACCGGCTCACCATGCTGTGTGAAACCTTCATCGTGAACACAGCGTTGAAAGAGCGTGCGTGTCGTTCGAAACGTGTTGTTGCTGACGATAACCGTAACTGAACTCTATAGTGAGAACGTCTTCATTTGCTTTTAGTCATGGGAAACGCGCTACTCTCTATTGGTATCAAATCTTTCGTACCTGCTTGGTCATGAGCAAGGGATATGTGTGCATTGAATATATAATAATCCCTGTGATGTGATGATAAATAGTAATGATAACTATGGCAATGATAAGACATTAGGTACATGGAATAGGCATAAAGAACCTACATTCACAACCATTCTCAAGTGTAGCTCAATGTTTAGTAGTCTCCCGAGTCAATTCTCACGAATAACATCTCAAACCGAAAAGAAAGCGACTTAACGACTTGATGAGTCGCCGCGAAAGAAAACTCGCGATCTTTCCAGCAAGGTTGGTTTGTCGGCCGGCGACGGAGGGGCTGGGGCTGCGCGTGTGACAGCGGGCTGACTGATCGTTGCTTCTCTTGTACAGAGATCATGTGCCTCGTGAGGGACATGCACACGTGTGCCGACCACATCGTCGACCACTTCAGCGGCAAGCGCGAGCCGGACAGCTCGCTGCCGCCCGAGCTGCTCATGAAGGACCCTGCGAAGCTGTGCGACGTTGTCAAACAGAGCCTCAGGGAGGCGGCAGTCGGTGCGTGCAGGGTAACGCTCGTCCGTTGTCGCCGTCGCCGTCGCCGCCGCGTCACAGCGTCTCGCTGCGTGGCGGGCGAAGTGTTGCTTTGTAAAGTGTTTGCTCCCGCGAAGCGTTGCTTCATGAAAGTGTTTGCTCCGCGAAGCGTTGCTTCATGAGGTGTTCTTTCGGAAGGGTGTGCTTCGGTGAAGTGGTGTTCGTGAAGTGTGGCTCCATGAAGTGTTGTTGTTTCGAAGAAGTGTTTGCTCAGTGAAGTGTCTTCGTGAAGTGTTGCTCCGTGAAGTGTTGCTTCGTGAAGTGTTGCTCCATGAAGTGTTGCTTCGTGAAGTGTTGCTCCATGAAGTGTTGCTTCGTGAAAGTGTGTCCTGTGAGTGTGCTCCATAAAGTGTTGCTTCGTGAAGTGTTGCTTCGTGAAGTGTTGCTTCGTGAAGTGTTGCTTCGTGAAGTGTTGCTTCGTGAAGTGTTGCTCCGTTGAATGGTGGCTCTCGAAGTGTGCTCAGTGAAGTGTTGCTGTCCGGCGAAGTGTTTGCCCCGAAGTGTTGCTCCATGAAGTGTTGCTTCGTGAAGTGTTGCTCCGTGAAGTGTTGCTCCGTGAAGTGTTGCTCGCAATTGGCGTGATAACGTTGCTTTCATGTAATTAAATGTATTGTTAGAGGTAAGAGCAAGAGGGTGAAGGCAAGAGATAGAAAGAGAGGAGGGTGGGTGGACGGACAGGTAAAGCGGTAGTAAACTGGGAGCTAGAGAAGGGTAGGGATGGAAAGCAGGTGGGCTTTCAGCCAAGCCATCACGGAGAGATGGTTTTTAGGTGTTTATGATTATGGTTAGGGTTATGATTATGGTTAGGGTTATGATTATGGTTATGGTTTTTAGGTATTGATGAGTAGCTAGTAATAGTTAAAATATGACTACAGGCAGAATACGGTAGCAGTACTATTGGCTGTTATGCATGTGCTGAAGCTTCGTCTGATTCTCTGGGTAAGAAAATGTACGAGGTGGTATAAAAACCGTAAACTCGTCAGCATCATGATTATGTTGCATTTTGTTACAATAAACAACTATGTGAGGGTATTTGCTGAGGAACGTGTTTACCTATTTGCTATTGATAGATATTTTTCGATGAACAATTGAAATGAATTGTGACGCGTTACACGGCAGGGTACGCAGGCAGAGTCGAGTCGAATGCTCTTGTGTTTCAGCTGGCGCCAAGCTCCTCATCCTCTGCGACCTGTTCTCTCGCAAGAAGGGCGAACTATCGCGCCAAGAGCGCCATGAGATCATCAAGTATGCAAAGTGCCGGTGAGTTGGTGTGCCAGACTTAACCACAGCGATCAGCGAGCCGCGGTCGTGGCTTTCGCATTAGTGATGTCTCATGCACATGAGTCTCGCATGTGTGTGTGGTAGCAGTATAGAAAAAAAGCTAATTCGGTAATTAATAATGAATCTTACTTTTTTTCTCCTTGTCCAGAGAATCCCAAGGGCTGCTAACCTCCTATACTATCCCATTGCCAAAGGTCACAGATTCTCGCTTGATTCCCGTGGATGGCAGACTCCCGTAGCCCGTCGAAGCTGTGGGTAACGCGTGCTTGTACCGTGTGCAGGTTGCCAATCTTTATGAGTCAGCTGCACACATTCCTGGAGGTGTGCAAGCAGCACTGCAACTCTCTCTCGGCTCATCAGCGGCACGAGATCGCTGCTTACCTAGTGCCGGAGGTTAGTACTAGCTACTCTGTACACAGAAGCACACGGTAGCATGTGGCATCGCCTGGGATACTGGACAATTGCGCGTGCTACGTCGCGTCAGGCTGGCACTCGGTGTTGTGCGCGTAAATAATCGTCGCTCAATAGCCGCTGATTCGATGCCTTTGTAAAAGGAGAAGCCAGTACAGCAGTAATTAAACACCCCTGATCTTATTGTTTTCTCGGAATCGTAATGGCTATAAAATCCCCATCTCGAGATAGTAGCACAGGGAACAGGTTGGCATCAGATATCTAGGCTGTAGATATCCGATTCCCGTCCTGCGTTCATGCGCAGGTTTACGTTTTCTAGTCTCCCATCGCTGCCCACACGATGTGGGGCTGTGAATCGTAACAGAGCTCTGCCGTGACACAGCTTGCATAATGTAGCACATAATTATATGAACTTATGAAAGTTATAGTATATATCTCAGCATACCTTGCCCGATTCCGCCCCTTCATCTACCCTCGGCTGTATAACGCAGGCTGCCGTAGCTGAAGCTTCTAGCATTAAACATTGGTCATGTCGGAACCAGCGCTGTGAGAAATTACTACTCCAGGCGAAATACCGACAAAATTTTACCCAATAGCGTTAACTCCGCTCCGGTTTTTTATTAATTCAGTTCAAAAAGTGTGCACGACCAAAAAGCAATTTTGGAGATTATAGTCCCGTATTGCTAAGGTGGTGAAATGTCGGAATTTCTTGAAATATGTGATTTTGTGAAGGTTTTTGTGTGTGTGGAATTTTGGATGTTCAGAATTTCGTGGTAGAATGTTGGTTTTTTGGGGGGGGTAAGGTAACGTATAGTGTAGACGCGTGGCAGCCGTCATCGCGGTACAGCCGAGGGAGAAGAGAAGCGGATGGATCCGACGTGTGCCGAATGTGAATGTGAATGTGAATGTGAATGTGAGTCCAAATGTGAATGTGAATGTGAACGAATGTGAATCTGAATGTGAATGTGAACGAATGTGAATCTGAATGTGAATGTGAATGTGAATCTGAATGTGAATGTGAATGTGAATTCGAATGTGAATCTGAGTGTGAATGTGAATGTGAATGTGAATGAATGTGTGTAGGGCTTCATTTGCAGCTCATCTCTCTCTCTCTTTCACTCTCTCACTCTCGCTCGCTCAGATCGACACGACGCTGGACGCCGTCTCTCAGTTTGTCGTCGAGACGAAGGGGGCGCTGGAGCAGGTGATAAGCGACGTGAACAAAGAGAACGTCTCTACGATACCCGAGGCCAGCCGCAAGGGCGGGAAGCTCGGCGAGATGCTGGGAAAGTCGCTGCGAAACGTGCGTGTGATGCGGGTTCACCGATCGATCGGGATAGCAGAAGATTTCTCCTGCGGTGGCCCACATGGCCGTTAACTCCTTCAGTAAAGGCTGGGGCAATGGTTATCACTAACTCTGGGGGTTTTCTCAGCGTGTGAAAGCTCAGGGTGTGATAGCTGGGGATAGGGTAGCCGTCTAGGCCACCATACTCTACTTTTCATTAATGTGGAGATGCTTATCAGACACAACTGTCATGTGTTAACATTGGAGAAAGAATGCATCCATGTTGGGCTAGAGTCATGTTTGGGACACGCAATCTCGCACTAATGCTCGGTTACTATACTTACATATATTGTGCTGGTATTGATACTGGAATTTTTTGATAACTCGGTGGACGTCTATGTTACGTTGTTTCACGAGAAATGTTAGAAAAGGTAAGGGTTCCGGCTGACACTACTGTGTTTAGGTGTACCGGACGTTTTTTCACAGCTAGGATAGAGAAAATGAACCACGTTAGGTTAGCACCGAGCTTGTGTTCTCTCCTGCGTGCTGTCACTGCTTGTATGCTTTTCTTCAAGACAACAATTAAGAATGCACATTTGTTTGTGTACATACGTACATGCACGTATTTGTATACTTAATACACAAACCCGGGAATACGTCCGTCCTTGCACCCTGGGGGAGTGGCAGGCTCACAATAGGGTAAACGGGGTAATAGTCTTTCCAGACACACCATAAGTTTGAAGAATCTAATAAAAATTACCATAAGTCGAAACTAGTCGTTTTGTGCTAACATGGCGGTGACCATTTTGTGCAGGAAGCTAACTGAGAGGAAATCGCGCGCCGTTGTTGCTGTACGCATGTGTGACTGTGTTTATACACGCAGGCTCTGCACATGAGAGAGCTGATGAAGCTGAGGAGTTTTCACGAGCGAGTCACGACGTTGGTTATGAGTTTGCTGCAGCGAAAGTAAGCATCACATTGCGGTCATACGGCGCCTGCTTTCGTCGTCAGCCATTGTTGCATAGCGTTTTCATCCACGTTTTTTAGAGACCCAATTGCAGATTCTAATGGCATGCGAGTGTTGATTCTGTAACTGCCAGATATTTTGTAGTCTGCCACGTGGTGCAACTAGCTGTTGTGTTTTAATATTCGTCCAGTCGGACTAATTCTAGTTATTGATTTCCAAGTCGTCATTTAGATGTATTACAAATAATTGTGTGGTCAGTATTGATAAATATGTGGTTAACGTTATTAAATATTAACGGTTTGAACATTTTGAGAGATGCAACATTGTTATTTCCCTGCAGAGAAAACTTCAGCTTAATGTCACACGACCAGAAGGTCAGGTCTGTTGCCAAGAACCTGGAGCAACTAATCGATGAGGTAAGCATTTGGCTTGTCTGCAGCTCTTGTGCTATGCTTATACGTGGCACCATAGAAAAGCTATTGCCAATAGAACGGAAACAAATGCCGCTGTTTGTGTGACTAGTGGAGCAAGAAAAGGAGAGTTGGAGAGTCACAGTTGAATTCATTTAGTGTTTCCGAAATGCACATAGGCACTATAATGTAAAAAACCGTCAGATGTCATGAGTTTGCTGGCAACAGTCGTTATAATGTTGGCCAAATAATGAGATCTTTCATTGAAGGAATGTAACTAAATGACAAATACAGTAAGTGTGACGCGTTGGCTGTTACTAGAAAAGTTGTGTGCAGTAAGTTCAGTGAAATATTTCACTTGAACAATGTTACGTCACTAAAGGGTTCCTAGGAAGTAGGTTGTCTGGTGTTCTAATGTGTCGACCCTTCATCGTAGGTTCCGATGTTTTTACTGCGGATCGAGGAGCTCATATCGGCATTGGACGAGAAGGTACAATGGAGAGAGTGGAAGTATCTGTTCAAGTTGGGCACATCGAAGGTGGTAAGTTATATCGTATGTACATGTTACTGTTGGTCTGAGCATTCTATAGACGGCTGTATTCAGGCCTCTCTAACGCAACTACACATTTGGCTGTACTACATTGCAACTACACATTGAGTTATTTCTAAGCGCCGATCGCACCTATGTAAATCCGGGTGGTTCTTAAAGTTGTGTGACTTCATGAATTATGAAATGATAGCCTCTTTATAGTAAGGATGACCTTTTTGTGAAGATGAACCAAGTCGGTATGGTGAAGTCTCTTGTTGTTGCCCCCCCCCTAATTGTTCTTGGGTTTCCGTAGTTTTATCAAGCTCGAATGTGCGAAGAATGGTAAGAATCTTTTATCTGTTGAGTACAGCATTACGGTAGAGAGTACGCTATTATTTACCCTCTATGACCTTCACGAGTTTTCGATCGATTGCGAGTAGCTCGTGTCGTGTTTTCACCGACGCCTTTGCGTGTTTTCGTCGACGCAGGCTTGGGGTCTGAGCAAAGTTGTGATGCACAAGTCCATGCTGGAGAGCCTCACCCGGCGCGCGTGCGAGATGGTCCACCGCGGCCAGTTCTCTCAAGCGATGGTCGCACTCGGCCTGCTGGAGCCGATGCAGAAGCAGGCCGAGGTGGCAGTCAATAACCAGAGCAGCGTGATAGCCGGTAGCAAGCTAGCCGCGCGCGGCGGCGGCGACCAGGCAACACACCAACAGGTAGCGCCACCGTCAGGTCTCACGTTGCTTACCGAAGTATTGTTTCTGGCACTTGCCGCTGATTTGTAGCGAGTAGGCCGATGTTAGATACACGAGGGTAAGGATAAGTTGAGAAACCTATCCGGGGATGGAACGGTGATGCAGACGTTGTATAGAAAACTGGTGAGTTTAGTTTTCAGCAAGGCCTCCTGCTAAATACACCTTGTCGCATTTGAAGTTTCCTCTTAGCTATATAATATTTCTGTCTACTCAAGATTATCTCCTCTGTTTGTTAATGCTCCGCACGATTTTCGCATGACGGGCCAATCGATGGCACCAACCATAATATGTATATTTACAGACGAACATCGTTGAGTCCCTCATGCTACCCCCGTTGGCACGGCACAGCACTCTAGCTCAGCACACAGCACAGCTGTTTGGTAGAAACTACGAAACTGACATGGTCTTTGAGGTCGTCTGCGTGCAGGGTACGTAGTCGCCACGGCAACCGTGGTCCTGACCGCAGAGGTCGTCCGTGTGCAGAGTACGCGGTCACCATGGCGACCGTAGTCCTTGCTGTCGAGGTGGTCTGCTGGCCGCATATATAGTAGCGTTGGATTTGGGACAAAAGTCGAAAAGTCGAAAAGTCGAAAGCTCGAAAAGTCCAAGTGAATATGTGACCAGACACGTGGTAATGTTCGCTTGTTGTTTAGACATGGCCGACGTCGTCATCGACCACACCCACGGTGAGCCGATTGCTGCCAAGACGGAGAGGGAGCCTGAGGTCTCAATGACTCAGATTCCCGCTCATCGAGTCATCGTTGCCGCGCGCTGTGACTGGTTCAGGAGGGCGCTACTGAGCGGCATGCGAGAATCCATAGACAAGTGAGCGTGCGCGTTGTGGCATGGATCTACAAGGCATCGTACACTGCGCTCAACCAAATTATTCTGATTGAATGGCAGTTTTGATTAGGAAGTGCATGTATTGAGTTGAAGCGTGTGAAGAGAACGATCATAAGCGTACGTGTGAGCATTCTTGATTAACGCAAAGAAATTGCGCACAGTTCAACGAGATTACTGCTTTTTTAGGAAAATCATAGTCCACGACACGAACCCGGAGCTTTTCAGATTGTTCCTACAATACCTCTACAGCGGTCAGGTGCAGACGAATGACATGAGCACAGAGCAGCTGGCTGACATGATGGCCATCAGTGACCGATATGAGGTGAAGCAGACGCGCGGATCTGCTAGCAGACGTGCGGATATGCTAGCAGACGCG